GAGCGATCCAAACTCACTGCCATTGAGTCAATTCCGACTCATAGCACCCTATAAGACAGAGTAGAACTGCTCCTGAGGGTTACCGAGATGGTAACCTTTTATGGGAGTAGAAAGCCTTGTCTGTCTCCCAAAGATGGGTCAAGGGTAAGATTATAGGACAAAAATGTGTGAACTGCCATCCTTACAGTTAGCAGTCCATTGCTTAACTCACTGTACCACCAGGACTCCTCTGAAACATACAAGCAATTAAAATAGGATAAAGAAGTCATAGTTTCAAAGACCAGATGTTATCAAAAGAAATAACATTCTTAAAATCAAACTCACTGCCATTGAGTGGATGCCGACTCACAGCAACTTTTTAGGATTGGGTATTTTCAAGTTTGTACCTCTTTACAGGCGTAGAAAGCCCCATCTTTCTCCCATGAAGCAGCTGGTGGTTTTGAACTATGGACTTTGTAGTTGCACTATGCCACCAGGGCTCCTTTATCAGAAAAAAATTCTTTTTATTTGGAAAAACCTAATACATGCTTATTATTTTAACAATAGAGAAAAATGTACAACTTAAGTTGTTGTGGTTAGGTGCCATAAAGTCAGTTCCGACACATAGTGACCCTATGCACAACAGAACAAAACTCTGTATGTCCTATGTCATCCTTGCAACTGTTCCTAAGCCTGAGCCCATAGTTGCAGCCATGGTGTCCATCCGTCTCCTAGAGAGCCTTCCCCTCCTTTGCTGCCCCTTTATTCTACCATCATTTTAACATGTCCTTCTCTAGGGATTGGTCTTTCATGACAACTTGTCCAAGGTATTTAAAACTAAGTTTTGCCATTCTTGCCTTTAAACCTATAATCCCCTCACCAAACCAAACCAAACTAACTGCCATCGTGTCAATTCTGAGTCATGACGATCCTACAGGACAGGGTAGAACTGCTCTGTGATTTTCCAAGGTCGTAACTGTTTACTGGTGTAGAATGCCACATCTTTTACACGCGGCGCAGCTACTGATTTCAAACTGATGACCCTGTGGATGGCAGTCCAACTTGTACTCACTATGCCACCAGAACTCCATACCTACAAAAGGTTGGGGTCTATCTTTCCAGATTTTTTTGTGCATGCATAATAATGTCCACTGTAATAAATTAAATCAAAGGAAGATGTTAATTTAAACATTAAAAATTTCCTCCTAAAAGTAAAAGGCAATAGAGGAAAGAACCAGGAGGCAAAGGATATTTATAAAGGTCTAAATACAGGCATGTACACATGTAAATATATTTATATATAACGAGAGGGGAATAGATCTAAGCACTTATATCTATATGTTAAGAATTAAGGCTGCAGATGGACATTGGGCCTTGACTCAAGTACTCCCTCAACACAAGAACACTTTATTCTAATAACCCTGCATTCTGTTATGCTCACCTTCCCAACATGATCACTGAAGACAAAATGGGTGCATAATCAAAAGAAAGCTGATGGTACCTGGCTACCAAAAAATATATATCTGGGGTCTTAAAGGATTAAAGATAAACAAGTGGTCATCTAGCTGAGAAGCTACCAAGCCCACACGGAAGAAGCACACCAGCCTCTGTGATCAGGAGGTGTCGATGGGCTCGGGTATCAGGCATCTAAGACCCAGAACAAAATTATACCCAATGTGAATGTGGGGAGTGTGTGGAGTGGAGACCAAAAGCCCATCTGTAAACAATTGGACATCCCATTATAGAGGGGTCACAAGGAAGAGATGAGCTAGTCAGGGTGTAGTATGGCACTGATGAAACACAACTTTCCTCTAGTTCCTTAATGCTTCCTTCCCACTGCTATCATGACCTCAATTCCAGCTCACAAATCAGATTAGACCAGAACATGCACACTGCTACAGATAAGAACCCACAACACATGGAATCCAGGATAGATAAACCCCCCCAGGGCCAACAATGAGAATAGAGATACCAGGAGGATAAGGGGAAGGTGGGGGGAGAAAGGAAGAATCGATCACAAAGATCAACATATAACCCCCTCCCAGGGGACCGAATAACAGAAAAGTGGGTGAAGAGCGACAGAGGACTATGTAAGATGAAAATAATAATCTATAACTTACCAAGGGTTCATGAGGGAATGTGGGAAGGGGTAAATGAGGAGCTTATATGAAGGGCTCAAGCAGAAATAAAATGCTTTGAAATTGATGATGGTAGCATATGTACAAATGTGTGTGACACAATGGATGATTGTATGCAAGGGCCCCAAATAAAAGTATTTAATTAAAAAAAAAGAAAAAGAAGTAGAAGAGATGCTAGGGATTATAAAACAAGAGACATTAACAACCAAATATATAAATTCATTTGGATCACTAGTGAAACAAATAAATCTTAAAAAATTTGTTTTTTAATTTTCTCCCAACCTCCCCTCCCACCCCACTTACCAGATACAACCAATTAATAGTCTGGTTTATATATCTACTCACTCCTTTTCTAAAATCATAAAAATAATCCTAATTAAAGAAATATGTCTTCTTTAATTTCACATGTACTTTCTCATTTAGTCCTGAGCACAGGCTGATAGATTCAGTTATAGCACAAGGTCACAGTTAACAGGCAAAGACAGCACTCAACCTGAGGGTCTGCCTGATTTAATCCTATTGGTTTCAAAAATTCATTAAACAGATCCAGTCAAATAACCTTATAATGTGGAACAACAAAATACTGGGGGTGGGGGGTGGGGTGGAGAAAGCACTATACTAGGATGGTGCAGGGATATGGAAGTAGATCTGAATGGGCTCAAGACCAAAAGGTTTATGCTCATTTAAGGTAACAGTATTCAGTCCTCAGCCAATGAAGAGATAAGGCTGCTCCCTGCCCCCACACTTTTTGTACAAGAGGTCCCGCCCCCTGACCGTTAGGCGGTTGGCGCCCTTTTCTTGTTCTAGAACCTTCCGCCTCCTGGAGCCCCTACGCTCAGCATAGAATAAACCATTAGAGGGGGTTGGCAGACTAACTCGATCATAAGCATTTCATCTACTTGATTCCAAGTCTTTCCTGACTGATCCCCCAATTGTTTTCCCTCGAATTCCTGACTCGCAACCACTTCCCTTGTATCCCAAGGTGTGGGAGGGGGCCTACCCCATGCAACCCCACCAGACTCCACCCCCCTTTTGTCTCTAGAAGTTGGAACAGTCCGAGGCTAGAATTCTGGGGGATTCGCGTTGGCTCCTCCTTTCTGCTGGAGGCTTTGGAAGGAGAAAGGTGCTCTCTCGTTGGGTCTGGTTGGCGTTGGTGTGGCTGTTAGCCGGTGTGGCTGGCGTTAGGGCGACGTTGGCGGGGCAGGTATGGCTGGTGGCTGGTGGGGCTGGCGGCGGGGCAGGTGTGGTGGCCGGTGGGGCTGGTATGGCTGGTGGGGCTGGCGGCGTGGCAGGTGGGGCTGGTGGGGCTGGCGGCGGCAGGGCAGGTGTGGCGGCCAGTGTGACTTGCGGTGGGCGTAGTTGGCCTTATAGTTGTGGTCAACATGTACCTCTCTAGGCCCAAATTGGGATGAGGCCGGGGAGCTTCCCTAAGGCAGTATAAGCCCATCAAGGGCACATGCCTGGGTGGGGGGTGGGCCACAACTCAGAATCGGCTGTTCTTTCTCCGCAGCTCAAAGAAAAAAGCTGCAAAAGCCCCCAGCTCTTGAAAGAGCATGAATCCCCAGGATAATTGTGGTGGGTTCCACCATGCGGAAGTCCTGGTTTTTATCAACCATAAGATGACGAGGCACATTAAAGGCCCCGAATTCTACTTTGAGAATTTGTCTCTGCCCTGGGAAGAGATAGAAGACAAGCTCAAGACCATCTTGGAAGACAACAAGTTGTCCAGCGAGGCCAAGGAGGCTTGTGCCTGGGCCAGCCTGGCCCTGGGCATTCGCTTCGTCTGCAAGCAGAGCCACGCACGAGGGCACCAATTGCAGTGGCTGCACGACTTCGCCAAGCTGCAGAAGTCAGCCGCGCAGGCCTTGTCGGCAGAAGTGCAAGAGCTCACTGGGCAGCTGGAGATGGAGCGCAAGGTGGCGGCCTACCAGATTAAGTTGCTCCAGACCTCCCTGACGGAGGTGCAGAAAGAGCGGGACCAGATGAAGTGGAAGCTTCTCATAGCTGTAAGAGCCATTACCAGTTCGGGTCCTTCCGCCCCTCCCCCTCCACAGCCCCC